CCCCTCCCCTCTCCATCCATCCATCTCTCTCAATCTTCCTATTATGATTGACCCAACTACAAGGTTTACTTTCCTAACATATCTATCTATCTATCTATTTAAATATCTGCCATTCTTTCTATCTATCTATCTATCTATCTATCTATCTGTCTGTCTGTCTGTCTGTCTGTCTATTTATCTATCTATCTATTTCTTTATCTAATTATCTATCTATCTATCTTATGTATATATCTTTCCATCTATCTATGCAGCTCTCTATTTACCTAACTAACTATTTATTTGTCTGCTAAACTATCTAATCTATATATATATACATATATTTATCTATCTATATGTCTATATATGCATATGTATATATCTACATCTACATATACTTCATCTTTCTGGACTCTCTATCAATAAGTCATAGATAGGTTATCTTCTCTCATCCTCACCTTTATCTATCTATCTATCTATCTATCTATATCTAGCACGCTTCCCTATAAGTTATCTAATCAGCAGAACAAATATAGTTTCAGTTTAAAAATATTTCACGAAGATGGAACAAAAACTGCCAAAAACTTGAAAGCCCAGATATATGAGGAGTTGCTGCTAATATGAACATGTTTTTTTATGCTTACATGCTCCCCCCCCCTTCCCCCTCCTGAAACACTTCCCGTTTTTCAATAAATGTCTCATGTAACTTTAGAATACATGCTTAAAGGTACTGTAGACGTAATTTTAAGTTGACATATTCGATTCACAAGATACTTTTACACTTAAATGTACTTCCCTGTACTCCCCTGTACTCCCCTATACTCCCTAGTACTCCCCTGTACTCCCCTGAAATCCCCTGTACTCCCCTGTACTCCCCTGTATTACCTTGTACTCCTTTGTACTCCTCTGAACTCCCCTGTACTCCCCTGTACTCCCCTGTATTCCCCTGTACTCCCCTGTACTCCCCTGTATTACCTTGTACTCCTATGTACTCCTATGTACTCCTCTGTACTCCCCTGTACTCCCCTGTACTCCCTGTATTTCCCTGCTTTATATATAAAAGTCAGGTCTGAATAACAAATTTTACTTTGAAACTTCTTCAGAAGCTTAAATACTTTAAATTTACATGTCTTGGGAAAAAATACTAAATAGATAAAATATTAAATCCACATTATTAAAACACACAACTGTTTCACAAAAACTATGCAGATATGTATCGAAACGTGGCAATTTTTCCTTGAAACTATATACAGAAAGTTTCAAAACGTCAATTTTTCTATTTAACTGAACAATTATCTGTGAAAGTGTGCTATTTTTCACAAACAAAGTTTATTAAGATTTTTATAACGTGCTTTATTTTGCTAAAACTTAACAGATCGGTTTCAAAACGTTCTAAAATTATATAAACTGTAATAGGATGAGTATGATAAAGGATTCATTTGATTTTTGCCTTAATTGGAGAAAAAGAAACATAAAATTATAGCTTGGTCATATTACCGGAATATTACTATGTTTACTCCAAAAAAATTATATCTGTCATGCATTCACAAATTTTTATAAAAAAAACAATATTTGGAAAAAGTGAAAAACAAATAAAATGGTTGTGGCAACAGGAGAGGTTTAAATCCCATGGTTGGTTCCTAAAAATAGTTATCCCAACAGGAGAGGTTTAAAAACCCATGGTTGGTTCCTAAAAATAGTTAAACCCATGGTTGGTTCCTAAAAATAGTTATCCCAACAGTAGAGGTTTAAAAACCCATGGTTGGTTCCTAAAAATAGTTATCCCAACAGTAGAGGTTTAAAAACCCATGGTTGGTTCCTAAAAATAGTTATCCCAACAGGAGAGGTATAAAAACCCATGGTTGGTTCCTAAAAATTAGCTTTAGTTAAAAACTTATCAAACAGAAGTTTTCCCCCATACCTGGGGACTTTTTATCTTCCCCTCTTTTCTACTTAACTTTTCCCCTTCTGGTAAAGTTTCTTGTATATTCTATCCCCCCTCCTCTACATCTCTGGAGTGACCATCTTGTTTAACTACTGAAATTCTAGGTACCATCCGGCCATCCATCCGGCTTAAAAATACATAACTTTTTAATAAAATCGATAAATTTTGTATTTTAAAAAGATATTTTGAATCCAAAGATAAATCATTTGTTCATAAAAGATTGTCTCTTATTCAAAACGTTTGTCATAGAAAAAAGGAAAAAAAGAATTGAATCTTTGCCACAAACTCAGATTCTCTATTTACTGTATCTTTATAACCAAATGTAGCAGACCTTAGCTATTTCAAACTATGAAATGTGTTAGATCAAATAATATAAGTTTAAAATATCAAAGATTTACATCATCAGGCTGCAAAGATATTGAGATTAGAACATTTAAGTTTGTAGCAAAGACTCGATTCCTTTACCGTGGGAATGGTGGGGGGGGGGGGGGTAATAAGTTTTTGGAAAATTAAATGAAAAAAGATTCGTAACAAAACAATCTTTAAGTTTTGAATTACTTTATCAAATGGTTTGAAAAACAAGGGGGTTATTGAGGGATAAGGATGAAGTTGGGAGGGAAATAATTCTAGAGGAGAAAAGGTTTATAAAAATTTTTAAATGCACAGTTGAGAGGTATAAACATAGGAACCGATGCAAGGGGAGGGGGGTAATCGGAGGGGGATATTTTTAAGGTACAGGGTGAAATCTTGCCTATAATAAATTACATTTTTTGCTAATCTCATCTTTAACAAATATGTATTAAATTTTAGAATTTTTGTTAAGTTATCTGATAGACCATTTAAAAAAAGCGCAAAACTATTTTTTTTACTTAAAATTAAATGAGTAAAAAAACAAGAGTGCAAGAATATATTATTTATCAAACCTTAGATTCTTAAACAGATTAGATAAGTAGTTTCGGAGAAAATGCGCAAAATTAAATTAAGAAAATCCGTACTTTTAGTTTTTGAAAAAAAATCATTTTGATGATTTTATTCTTTTTAAATTCTTTTTGTAATATGAACTTTTGAGTTAGGTAAAAATGTCTTCATTTTAAGCATAGGAAAATCGCATAAAAGAGTTTATTATAATTATATGTTGATTTCTAAATCTAATTTCGCGCATTTTCTCCAAAACTACTCATATGATCTGCGTAAGATTTTAAGGTGCAATAGAATTAATATATTCCCGCACTTTTGTCTTTCTACTCATGTAAACTTGAGTAAAAATAGTTTCGTGGATTTTTTAAAAGGTTCTAAAAAGTAAAATTCAAAAATTTCATACATATTGGTCAAAAAGGAGATTTACCAAAAAATATTGCTTTATTATATGTAAGATCTCGCTGTTCACCCTTTTTTTTGACTCACCCTGTATGTATACTTGTAAGATTGTAAGATTGGGTATTACTGTATGATTGAAAGCTAGTGAGGTATATTCCCTTGTAATCTCTGAATATGTAAATTTATGAAAACTTAAAATTAAATAAAACTTAAAATCTTAAATTTTACATACTGTCAACTACTAAAGTTGGAAGGACATTTTGGGATTCTTTTTAAATTTAAGATTTTTACAAACTCTTTCGCGAAAATCACAGTGAATATGTACTTTTTTATTTACTTAACAGAAGGTGTCCTGAATTTCATAGATACGGGTACATAGACATCATTCTGTCTACAAGAAGAATTTTGGAGCTTTGAAAGCACTACTTTTGATTAAAAGACCGTAATACAGGAAACCAAAACAAATGGACTCTAAAACAGTTTTATGAGTCCTCCTCCATCCCTCAAATTCCCCCCTTCTTCAAAATCTTTGCAATCTGCCCTCTCACTGCAAACTAGGGTTTACGACCTCGTAGCTCCTCTAGTTTGGATTTTACGCAGAAGTACAAGTAAAAATTTTCCAGTTACAAAGTATAAATTCAAAACATTTTTGTTCTTCTTGATAGCTTGCTCTTTAAGAGGAGTTTTGTTCAATGTTACCCGGAATTTACATTAGCTTGACGTGGCTCTGTGTGCAATTTACATTAGCTTGACGTGGCTCTGTGTGCAATTTACATTAGCTTGACGTGACTCTTCGTGCAATTTACATTAGCTTGACGTGGCTCTTCGTGCAATTTACATTAGCTTGACGTGACTCTTCGTGCAATTTACATTAGCTTGACGTGGCTCTGCCTGCTTCTCCCTGCCTCTCCCTGTAATTTAGCAAGTTTGTCAGCCCAGCCGCGGAAACCCTTAAACTCAAAATAAAGTAATTACCAACATGCAACTTGGCTAATACGGGTCCATGGAATAGATTACTACATATATACATACACATTTACAAACATATAAATAGGATTGATTTAGATTACTACATACATACATCTACATATGAAATTGTGATAGATATAGATTACTACGAATACACAAATAACAGTGTAATAATGGAAGATGAAAAAAGAAAAAAAATACTACACATAAAAATGATCTTATAAATAAAATAATATAAGATTTTAAAATGGAAAAACTATTTAGAATGACTTATTAAGTAGGAAAAATAATATTTTTATTTACCATTTTTGTATTGACTTTAAGAAAACAGATATTTCTATCATGGAAAAAAACAATAATAATAAAATAAAAACACTATTCGAATGCCGATTAAAAAAATATTTTGTTGATGACAAACTAACGAGTTGGGTGAGTTTAGATATTAAACTTGTCTGGAAACAGTCTGAGGTCCCTCCCTCCCTCCCTCCTCCCTCTACCCTCACTCACCACCCTATCCCTCGCCAACAACTCCCTCACTACGCTCCCCTCCAGGATACTAGATATTGCAGCAAACCTCACAGAACTAGGTAACAAAACAGTTAAATCGAATTCTTACTTTTAAACATGAAAAAAATGCTAATAAATCAGAAACCATTAACAATCTAACTTGGCATATACTTTGAAATTAACGTTTTGCTCTCGAATTTTAATAACTATGCAATTTGCTATAATATTAAAGCACATACATATTTGTAAAACATTTTCGTAAACAAAAACCAATGTGAATAATACATGTAAATTCTGTTAAAACTATTATCCTAACGAAAATAAAAAAATTTTGCCTTGAAAAAGAATTCTATCCGAGGCACTGTCCATTTTTTTATTTAGTTTTTTTTAAAACTTGAAGTAAAAGGTTTTTACACATTTTAAGGCTGAAAAAAAAGTATAAAAGAGAAAGAGCAAGGATTTATGTTAAATAGGTCAAATTGTGATCAAAAGTCAAAGCTGTTCGAGCTAAATTATTGTGAGCTTGGTTCACAATAAATCACTTTATTACAATCTTTTAAAATCTTTCGTTTATCTTATTTTTAGGATCTTTTTCTACGAGTTCCCTAATTTTCTTCCAGTTTATTAAAAAAACAATCTAATCCTTCAGAAAAAACACAACGTACTCAATACTCATACATCCTTACTTCAAAAACACTCATCCCACCCCACCCCACTTCAGAAAAACTTCCCCAGATATATCCCTCTAAAAATCTTCTTCTATTATATAACAAAAAGTGTTAGGAATGAAAGGATATATTCAGACGTGCAAATTCCATCACATTGACAGACAGACAAACGGACACAACTACAAACAGACAAAATTCACATACAAGTTGATATAAAACATCTAAACCCCGAATTTATAAATAGATAAACACAAATATATATAACCGAAGACAAACACCCCTTTAACTGATGTATGGGAAGTTACTCTAACCTAGCTAAAAGTGTGAAAGTGAGAACGTATATATTTGGCTATCTATCATCTATATATCTATCTATCCGTCTATCCAACTATTCATCTATTCATTTATCCAACGATTTATTTATCCATCTATCTATGCATCCATCCATCAATCTAACTATCTATCTTTATATCTATCTATCCATCATCTATCTATTCATCTATCCATCTATTTATCTATCTAGCTATCTATTTAACTATCTATCTATATATCTATCTATCCATAATCTATTTATCATCTATCTATGTATATATATATCTATCTATCTATCTATCTATCTATCTATCTATCTATCAGCTATCTATCTATCTATCTATCTATCTATCTATCTATCTATCTATCTATCTATCTATCTATCTATCTATCTATCTATCTATCTATCTATCTATCTATCTATCTATCTATCTATCTATCTATCTATCTATCTATCTATCTATCTATCTATCAGCTATATATATGTATATGTAATATTCATCCATCTTTCACTCCTAACAATACAACAAATTATTCTTATTGTCACTCTCCTGGTGAGTGGGTGTTCATCTTCGTACCATCTTTCTCCTCAGTCCTATCTCTATATATATATGTATATATATCAGCTTTCTCCTCCCTATATATATGTACACTATAACGTAGTTTGGGAACCCAGCTTTGTTTAGAAACTCAAATTTCCCTGTAAAAGTTGATCCCCCACAACTTAGGACTATTTAGGCAAATTGGTCCAGCCAGGAGGTTGTGAGCTATTATACGAACAGACAAACAAAGATAACTAATACAATCCTTTTGAAAGGTTTTAACTCGTCAATCAAGTCACATTGAGAGCATCAGTGCACAAATGACAAATGTATACTTTGAATATCATTAAACGTGGATCTGAAAATATAGATATATTTTTTATGATCATTATCATCATTATCACACTATCATTAATACTATCACAATCATCGTTAATATCTCTATGATCATCATTAACACTATTTTCATCATCATAATTCTTGTTCTGATTCTGTTGATAGTAAATATATAATCAGGTGTTGAGGTTTATTTTTGTGAATATTCCCCTTAAAAAGGTTTAGTCAAGTGTACTACGAGAACACTTGCTGGGAATATATGTCAATTATGACAAGCTGGTGACAGAATGGATTCGTTTTAATGTTTTTCTTCGCCTAGACTATAATTGATTTATCAGTAACAGTTCACACTATACGCAGTACATTTTACACAACTTTTTGCCAATCAGTACATAAGTTATACAAATACAGTACAGAATACATGTTATACAGTACACAGCACACAGTATATTGTTCTGCTCTACGTAAGTTATTATTCAGTCAGACATTGAAATTTGATAGATTTTTTTACAGCAATGTTTAAAATAAATGTGACAAATTTGAACTCTATTCTATAACTTTGGGTTTTACTTTATTCTAAAGGTAGAATTCTAACAAATTATTCTGGAGTATTAAACTGAAATATCCTAATTATAACACATCATTAACAATATAATTATTTAAAGTCATTAGTTTAATGATAACAGGATACACAAGATGATTAAATTTACAGCGGAGGAGCGAATATTTACTAATTAAAGAATAATTAAGAGGTTGCGCGATAGTTAAAAATTTATTTTAATATTTTTATCTATTTACGTATATGAAATAAATTAACCCTTTAAATAATATGAAATAAAATGAAAAATCTGTTAAAGGGACTGTAAACGTAATATCAAGTGACTCTCCGTTTAGTGAGGGGCATTTTTGATTCACAAGGGTACCCTTTAAATATTTGTCTCATCAGTTTATATATATATATATATATATATTAAAGTACCAGTATTTAAAATCACATCCTCTTTTTTATTTTCCGAATCTATGGAATAAATTTAAACCAGTGTTTAAAAATAGCATTATTAAGAGCTCAACGTTTTCCAGTAATTTAAAATCTTATTTTCTACACAAACTTGATGAAAGCTATAGCACAGATTGTAACTGTTATTTATGCACTGTTTAGTTTGCTTGTACCCAGGGTCTAAGTACAATACCTTCTTATAATATATTGCTTTGTTTTCTATTCTCCAGGTTTACTTGGGCTCTCATGATCGGACCTACACAGAACTCTAACAAAAATATTCACCTCTCCTTCATTTTTTTTACTTTCATCGTATCTTACGCCGCATAAATCTAAAGTTTTCAGGGACCTGGACCAGAAAGCCAGATATTGAGCTCTCCGGGTTTCCCGGCACTGTAAAAATGTGTTTTTAACCCTTGTAAATGTCTAATTATGTGCCTAATAAAATATTTATTTATTTATTTATTTATATCATGCATGATATATGATATATGTATTATGCATTCTTTGAGAATGTATTATTCTCATTAAAGGTTTGTCTGTATAACTAGTGAATTGCACTTGTATATTTCTCCTTCAGAAGAAAAAATTACCCGTTTTTAAAGCTAGAAAAATAATGACACCTTTCATATTATCGATTAGATAAAGGTTTAAAGGGCACTGTTATGAATCGGGTATACCCCCCTTTAATTGGAAGGTCACTTAATATTACAACGGTAGTCCCTTTAATGATAATAGAATAGATTAAACAGTCCCTTTAATGGTAATAGAATAGATTAAACAGTCCCTTTAATGGTAATAGAATAGATTAAACAGTCCCTTTAATGATAATGGAATAAATTGAACAGTCCCTTTAATGATAATAGAATAGATTAAACAGTCCCTTTAATGATAATAGAATAAATTGAACAGTCCCTTTAATGATAAGTATCTAGAGCACGCACAAACACTTAAAAATTGATTTCACACAAACAAATTTAATTAGACACACTTATCCTCACCCCTCCCCTTGGTGGGGCTCACGGTCCCCCCCCCCTTTCTGGGGCACACTGCCCTGCCACTCACCCCCCCCTTACCCCCCGTTCCTGAAGAGCAGACATACATAACACTTGAAAATATTAGGGTTTAAAGCCTATTAAGGAATAACGAGCTAAAAACCGGGTGCTAAAAAAAATTAATTTAAAAAAAATATAATTATTATTTTTCTATTCACATTTGTTAAATGCCTAGCAAATTTTCACGTCATCAGGTTTTTTGTAATTTTTTTTTCTAGAAAAATGACAATTGGAAAGTGAAACCATCCACTAGTCCAAAATTTAAAATTTAAAATCGAAAATTAAGTTGAAAAGTGAAAATTCTAAATCCTAATTGAAATTTAAAGTTTACAAAATTTCTCAACTGTATTATAAAAGGTCAAGCAAAAAAAGAATTATCTAACTTTAGGGTGAGAGGGGGGGGGGGTCGTTAATTGATCTCATTTACGAAGTTTCATTTTATAAAAGTTTTATAAAATTCTTTATCAAAAAGTTTTGAATGTCACGAGAAACCCCTTTGGCCTTTAAATCAGTTATTCCTAAAAGTATAATTTGAAAAATCTAAGGGTTTTGGAGCCGCAGCGTTCTTGATTATTTGAATTTGTAATTATATTCTCCATTAAAAGGACTAAGTAAATCTCGCATATTTGCATTAAACCCAATTCTATCAAAGTATTCTAAAGATCAAACTGTTTTTGGACCTGAGATCATAACGTAAGGATTTCTTTTCCCCGTGGACGTCAAATTAAAATAAGTTTTACGAAAGATTAAAATCTTATATGTTTTCAATCAAAAATGTTTCGAATTCCTAATGTGTAACTATAGACCGAATTTAAGAATTTGAATCAAATTTATACGCGGTTCATACATGGTTGGTTCAACCTGAAATTACAATCAGTGTTTTGAGATTTGAGCCATAACGTAGTTTGAACCACCAGTGATTGGGCGTTTATCGACGCACTTTTAATTCATAAAATTCGGCCTTAGATAAATCTGCGATTTTCATACATAGCATCAAATTTAGAGAAGCTACGAGGTCACAATGTCACATCAATTCTACCTTCTCTCTCTGTTAAGTTTGTAGTGACTGATTTTTACTAAATAAAATATTAAGATTTGTCTGGGAATGCTATGGAGGAGATCAAGGTAGAACTGTTCGAGAACACAACCAGGCTCATCAGCATCAACCTCAGCAACAACAACATCGACAAGATCAGGTTCAGATTTTTTTTGGTTTATTTTATTTGTCAGATCGATTCTAAAGCACATATTTCAAAGATAGTAAGGCTCCATGGGTAGTGTGGATGGGTGGAAGGATTCTCTCCTCTTGTCAGCTGTAAAAGTGGAGAAAATCCTTACCCCCCTCTCATCAACAATGTTCACTTTTAGCTTCCGCCAATAAGCAGTTACGTCATATGAGGTTTTATGAGTGTCCATTGCTATGAAGACGACATTTACTGCTCATTGGAGCGCATCCAGAGTATCTTCACCTTTATAAACAACCTTCGTTTGGTCTTATTGGAAATTATGGTTGAAAAAGAACACTTTGAATTTCATATTTTCATTTGGAAAGTGGATGAATTATAGTATATGAATTAACTAAAATTCGTCAAGTTATATGTTTATTTTTCCAGACGAAAATCGTTTATGAGCCTGCATGATCTGGAGACCCTGAACCTAGGTTGGAACAAGGTTGAAGAGCTGCCGGTCAGGTTCGGTAAACCGCTCGTTAATCTCCGGACCCTGGATCTGACAGGGAACCGGATTAAATCTCTAGCAAACGAGGTTTTTCTGGGATTAACGGTAAGAGAGATTTTTTAGTCACAAGTTCATATCGATTTTCATAGGGGAAGGGATGGAAGAATGGGAAAAGACCCATAAACTCATAGTTAGGAAGACGACCATGAGACTTAAGTTGTTTTAAATATTTTAATGAATATCAAAACACAGCATATTATACAAAGTGATTACCCATTTCACTAAAACGAGTTTATTTTTATCCGATCGGTGAATCTATTTGCTTTTGTGCAACATCAAATACATTTATTATATTTCACATTTGATGGGTTTTACTGTACACCCTTTATACATAATTCAGTTACAGGGTGTGATGATTTCAAGTTGATAAAACTGTCTTCATCTAGAAACACCCTGTATATCCTGTCTGTGAGAATTCGATCTGTTTGTTTGTTCATCTTTATTGTTTTAAAATGTATTCTCTGTATTTGAAATTGTATTTTCTGTCTGCTGTGTCTGGTAACTTGTAATTGTTTCCAGGTGGAAACTTAAGACATTGTTCGTCTAATTAAGCCAAGTTTCGAAGTTTAAATGACAAGGATAGTGAAACTTTTAGATATCCCAATAAATTTTTCTTTTTTGTAGATATTCTAGAAAAGGGTTCATTATCTGAAATGTACATGAAAATCAGTTTCTTGTTTCCAAACTTGGTTTATTTTATCCAAGCTCTTTTAAGTTTTAGTCTCAAGAATATTGGTTCTCATCTAATCTTATTGTAGTAGAGAATATCTCATACAACTATACTATTACTCTTAAATCTACATAATTACTTATTTTAGGAACCTTCTTATTCTATACATGGATTAATATTTAACAATTTTTTAGGCCTTTCACATTAATTTTTTGAATCCAATTATTATATTTTTTTCATCTTTTTACTTATCTTTTTACCTCCGATTTCTTTCTTCTATCCTTCATTCCTACCGGACCTACCCTTCTATCCTTCTATTTTATACCTCCTACCCTACCCCTGATCCTACCCTTCTATCCTTCTATCCTATACCTCCTACCCTACCCCTGATCCTATCCTTGTATCCTTCTATCCTATACCTCCTACCCTGCCCCTGATCCTATCCTTCTATCCTTCTATCCTATACCTCCTACTCTACCCCTGATCCTATCCTCCTATCCTTCTATCCTATACCTCCTACCCTGCCCCTGATCCTACCCTTCTATCCTTCTATCCTATACCTCCTACCCTACCCCTGATCATATCCTCCTATCCTTCTATCCTATACCTCCTACTCTACCCCTGATCCTATCCTCCTATCCTTCTATCCTATACCTCCTACCCTGCCCCTGATCCTTTCCTTCTATTCTTCTATCCTATACCTCCTACCCTGCCCCTGATCATATCCTCCTATCCTTCTATCATATACCTCCTACCCTACCCCTGAACCTAAATCTCCTACCCGAGATCACACCCTGTTTTTAGTTTCATGTTTTAGATTTCATTCTGATTTAAATCTTAGAAACAATTTCGTAATATTTGTACCATGGCGGTTATATTCGTAGAATTTCAGGGTTGGTTCAACCTGTCTAACAATTAGACCTATCAAAGGTTTATCCTGTCCAACATTTGGTTTGATTAAGAAACTAAATCCTTGAATCTAAATACTTGATAAAGCTGTAAAAGCTGTAAAGAGAATCTGCCTTGAAGCTATAGCCTGGCTACTGCCTGTTTGTCAGGCAATTATGCCATGTTCTCACAGCTTGTTAGGAGGGCAGAGGGAGGGGGGCGGAGGCATGGGGGGGGTATTGAAGGGTGTGGTATGCTGAGAATGCTAAAAATGCAAAGATGGGGTTGTAGAATTAAAACGAAAAGGGAAAGCATGCTGAGGATGCTAAAAATGGAAAGATGGAATTGTAGAATTTAAACGAAAAGGGGAAGCATGCTTAGGATGCTAAAAATGGAAAGATGGGTTTGTAGAATTAAAACGAAAAGAGAAAGGAAAATAAATCCAATGACGTGAATTCGATCAAGTAAAACAAAAGGATTGAAAAGCTTGCAGAATACAGCGGGACTCACATAACTGTTAATTGCTTGGGAACCCAGCGTTGCACTCTAGTATACCGAGTCCATTAGCGCCTGATCCAATCAGGGTTCAGCCATGTGTTTGGTGTCTATTCTGAACCAATAGAAATAGTATGGCGGTAACATCTATCTTTCTATCTATCTCATTATCCAATAAGAGTTATGAATCCTTTAATCGGCGCTAACAGTAAATGGAAATATGTACTTTTACTGAAACTATGATGCGCCTTTCATCTTGAATTATGATTTAGCTTAGAATATCAAAACTATAGCTAAGAACATTCCCGTAGTTCTTCCGAGTTCTCCAATCAAATTTTTAGGCAAATCGGTCCATGGGTTCAAGAGCTATAATCGGACATACAAACAAATACACAAAGAAGCACCGATTACTACTTTACATATATATATATATATATATATATATATATATATATATAGAGCAATTAGTATCACCAAAGATTCAAATAAAGTGAAATAGGCCTATTTACATTGCATAATTGATGTGTTTCATGTTTATTGGGCTTTTTAAAAATATGATTTGAGCCTACATTTCACATTTTTCTAGTCTCACTGTATACATTTGGAGAAGGTCAAGACTGAATAACGAGGGAGAAAGAAAGGAAGAAATGTAAAGAAAAATGTAAAATTTCATTTTGGTAGTAAAAGTAAAGTAAAACATTATATATTAATGAAATATAACAAAACACACAAAATTAAGTGTTTCAGGATTAAATATTTAAAAACCTCCAAAAATAGAGGTTGTGGGAATATTTCCCCCCAATTCTAAAAAATATAAAAATATAAATACGAGGAAAGGGAAAGGAAAGGATAAGAAAAGTCACATATTTATTGTAGGGGTAGGGGGTGGGCGGGGAAGAAATTTCTAGAAAGGAATGTGTTTATGTAATAAAGAAACTTGCTGAAAACATGACTCTTTAATTTACATTTCAAGGCTTATAATCAAACTCTATTTATGTGTTAAATTATTTACATTGATATTTTTTCATTCATTCTAACTATCTATCTATCTATATATATCTATCTATTTATCTATCTATATATATATATATATATATATATATTTTTATCTAAACAATTATCAACATAAAATGTGTGCAAAATATATATATATTTTATCTAAAAAATTATCAACTTAAAATGTGTACTATATGTATATTTTTTATCTAAAAAATTATCAACATAAAATGTGTGCTATATATGTTTTTTATCTAAAAAAACTATTTTGGCAACTTTAATAAATAACTTTAATTTAATAAATTATATGCTAACCAAAAATAAGGACATTTTTGTCCTTTTAATTTATTCTAAATTATCATAAGTCTTATGGTGTATCTCAGAAAAACATATAGTAATATAAAAAATTACCTTATATGGTCTAGCATCATCATTGTTTCCTCTGTCACTCTGAAAACATATTTTATGCTTTTAATTCCAAATTTTATTTTAATAATTATTAATTTAGTGGCTGAACTTTTTTTTACCTCGCAAAATTAAAATTTAAAAATTATCATTAGGTTTAGTTAATCTTTTGAAAGGACTTCCCAATGAGTTATGTGTCAAATTACATTAGGGTTAATGCCAGGATTTTTTTTTATTGGTTAATCATTTTAAGTATTGTTGAAATGTATCAAATGATTAAAAAGTCTAAAAATGAATGAATTAAATAAATGTGTGGGATATGGTTGACACATATTACTGTTTTGTCAATGATTATTATTTTTCAGAAATGCTTAAAGGGACTGTAAACGTATTTTAAGTGTTCCAAAAATTCATTTAAAGTTGGCATGTCTAACAACGGCCTCTTACATCATTATTTAAGAAACAATGAGGAAGATATCGTTCTCTTTTCAACTTTAAAAGTGTCCGACCAGGACAATTTCTTTTCTAGTATAGTTCGTAAACTCGCATAACTTGAAGAGCTGCAAGGTCGCAAAATTGTACAATTAAAGTCGTTTCAATTCGTAGATGGAAACCCAAGATTATATCAACCATCCTTGTTAACAAATTATTACAGGCCACCGTTGTGAATCCGCCATACCACTCTAAAAACTTGAAATTATGTTTACAGTTCTTTTAATAGATAATAATAATGATTAACAGGCATGAACATTTATTAATTAAAGCTTAGTATTACTTTCAAAATAAACAAATTGTAAACACAAAATAACCAATGCCGGTATGATTTTGCATCGCTACTTGAATACCTAATTACCTGAATACCTAAATACACAAACACGCCCAAATTTTGTACGCTCAGCAGTTAGGAACCCTAGCTAACAAATACTTACTGCAATGCTGTTTTAACCTTTGCATTTTTGTGTTAAAAACAAGTTTTTTTTTCATTACTTTCACGTCCATTCTCCTTTCTTTAAAAAACGTGGTCAAACCATTCCTTCCTCCCTTGTCCCCCTACTCTACCTTCGATCCCTTTCCCGAAATAGTGTTCTTTCTTTTTTCTCCTTTTCTCTCCCCCCTTCTATCTTTTTTCCGTTTATTACCTTTCATGTATTTAGGTATTCATGTATTTAAGTATTCAGGTATTCCAGTATTCAAGTGGCGATGCATGATTTTTCTACGCATATTGGTGATATTTTATCTGATTTCCTGAAGTGTCGAGTATATCTCTATTGGACAGTGCTTTCACATTTATTTTCAATTTAAAACGAATAAAAATAATATGCCATAACTTTTGTAATTCAAAGTTAACGTTTCATACATAATTTTGAACTTTTTTCTCATTTGAAAAGAAATGATTTCAGTTTTTACATACATTTTAATTGAATCTGATAGCATAGATGAATATATGGATATATATTAAAAAATTAAATCTAATTTTTTTCTAGACATAATATTTCAATTTTGACCGGCTATAAACCTTCTCTTCTCTTAGGACCAACATAAAGACAAGACAATTTTTTTACGTCATTTGAACACAAACCCTATCCCCCCCTTAGTTATACATTCTACACGTACACCCTACACACATAATTTTGAATTGTTTTAAAACTTTTTACAAAACTTCCAACTTTATAAAACTGTATTCTCTTAAAGTTTGATTTTATTAAACTTTGCATTATTTTTAACCAAAAGAATTATAAAAAAGTCTGTTTTCGCATATATTTTCTCCCAGGGTCAACGTTTGGAATAGTGTAAAAAATGTTTAGAATTTACAATTTTTAAATCAATTCCTCTTCTTACATTATCTCAAATCTTGTCCCACAGAGAAAATATCTCAAATCGTGTCCCATAGAGAAAATATCTCAAATCGTGTCCCACAGAGAAAATATCTCAAATCGTGTCCCATAGAGAAAATATCTCAAATCGTGTCCCACAGAGAAAATATCTCAAATCGTGTCCCACAGAGAAAATATCTCAAATCGTGTCCCTCAGAGCAAATATATGCAAACAAATATGCCAAAAAAGAATGAAAACTATTGATAACTGTTAAGATCGACTATTCAAATTCCTTTGTAATTAATTATCCCCGTTCAAAGTCTTTACTTTGATTTATTGTATTTTAATGGCATACTAAATTCAAACTGCATGCCTACATTTGAATAATAAACTCAAATATGATTTAAATAATCCAATAAACATGAAATACGTACCAACTGTTTACACTGGTGAAACTATTTGATTAAAAATGACATTAAATACACACGTCGTCTTCCTGTTCCAATGTTTTATGAAACCCAATGATTCGTTTATTCTAAATTTACGTTTTCTCCAGGGATTGGAAATTTCCGTTTTGAGGAGTAGTGATGACTGATGATACTGGGATCAGGCAAACAAGATTACGAAATATTCAGAATTTAAATCAGATTTGGAAGATGTTTAGCTCCCTACACGGTATTTGGAATATTTTTCAATAGATAAACAGGGTTACCCACAAAGAATGAGACTTTTACGATGACCTGAAACTTTGAAAATGACGTCCTAAATACCACGATAACTGCGGTTCATTTAAAGTACCAAACAGACTTTTAAGCAAATAGAACAAAATGTACAGCAAAACACAAAACGTATCATCCCCTTCTATACAGTTATTAATGTGGCAAGGTCCTCCCGCCTTAACGTTTGCTTGTCGTATACGCAATCATTTTAAAAGAGCAAAAATCGCAGAGAACCCAAGCCGTAAAGTCGTCTCACTATAGTTTCAGTAGAAGTAAATATTTCCATTCACTGATAGCGCCGATTGAAGGATTCATAACTCTTCGGCATACAGGAGTGGTCTCATCCTTGGTGGGTAGACTTTTAGCAATTTTTTAAGATAAAAAGATATGCTTGCATGGCATTTAGAATTTGAGTCTAAGTTGAATTAATGGAACTTACAAACTTTTGAATAGTAATATACTAGCTTAACAGCTTAATTTCGGGAACTTAAAGGATTTGTTAAATGACTTAAATGGTTTGTGTACTTGTCTTATTTCAATAGCTATTTCCAGATTAAATAAGTTTTGAAACAAACCAGAAGTCAAAATAAAAAGTTGATTTCAATTTTATTTTCATTTAAATTGAATTTTTTTTTTGAAAATATCCTAAATAAAATTTTTTCGGCTAAAAAAAAAAATAAAATGAACTTTTTAGAAATTGATTCCAAATTAGATTATTTTAAGTTTTAAATATAATCTTTTATTTATCAAGAATTGTTGCTCGTAAAAGATTAAGTTTGTCATATTTTCAAAAAATATTATTGAAATATGAATTACTATTAATTTTATTTCACTGCTCATGATGTCATTAAGCTCAGATTTCGAAAATAAATTCAATAAAAAAACTAACTAATAATTATCAATATATTTTTATCTAAACAATTATCAACATAAAATAAAGATTTTTTTCGCTGCAATTTAGAAAGGGTCCTCGTCTAGTAACAGTTTTACAGTTTAAATGTTGTTTTTCAAGCCGCCATTTTATTCTTCAAAGTTGTAAAATTCTAAATTTTGAGATTTTTTTGATAACATTTTTGGATTTCTAAAATTTAATCGACATTTTTTACAAACACAATTTTTCGATTTTAAGCCATAACGCTGCCCTTGGGTCATTTGAGTTGACACATAAAACTTGGATATAATATTAGATATAAGAAAAGATGTCTTTGATTTCTGACAATATCGAAAGTTTAATACTTCAAATTCTTGTAGAGTCAGTTTAACTGAAGTTTTGTAAAGTGTCAATAATCTATTAAATAAACAATCCAGTTCGAGGACACAGCTCACAAGAATGTATGAAAATGTGTTTGTGGAGAGAATAATTAGCGAGACAAAAAATTATCTCATTTATTCCATTTCAAAAACTAATTATCATAATCAAATCTAATCTAATCTAATCTAATCTAATCTAATCTAATCTAATCTAATCTAATCTAATCTCTTGATATCATAATGCTTGATATTGTAAAATGTTTGCCTTACAAAAAGTAATTAGTAATTTTTATTTGTAAGAAATGGTCTCAATCCAAATTTTCTTATCCTTATCTATTTTTGATATTGTAGACCTTTGATATATCAAATTATGATATCTTCTAGATCAAATATAGCCAAATTCTAAAGTGACCAATGTTTTTTTCGACATGAGGTGGCAAGATAAAGAGATTAAAGAGACTGTAAGATAAAGATATTAATGGGACTGTAAGATAAAGAGATTAAAGGGACTGTAAGATAAAGATATTAATGGGACTGTATGATAAAGAGATTAAAGGGACTGTAAGATAAAGAGATTAAAGGGACTGTAAACGTAATGTTAAGTGATCTTTCATTCACAACGATTCCTTTCAAAAATTTGACTGATCAAGGATACGTTTAATACGTTTAATTTTGCAAGCTGTTGCATATTTAAGACATATCAAAAGAAACTTTCGAGCTGGGTTGCCAACTACCTGATGCAAAAAGATACCAACTTGATGGTAAAAATTAAAACAAAAAACACCAGAAACACTATTTTTACTCATTACATCTGAAATTACTCAGATTTGTTCTGTGATAATCATGTGATACATAACTTTCTATCCTTAAAATCCAAAAATAAGAAGAAAACACTAGAAAACACCTAAATCTTGAGGTATAAAAAACACCAGGTTGCTACCTTGCTTATTAAAAAATATACCTGGGGAATCAAGGGTACCGTTGTAAATCGGGCATTGCCCTCTTAGCATGGCAAGTCATTTGAAATTACGCTTACAGTCCCTTTAAGGATTATAGTTTGAGGCGAGTAATCTGTTCTCAGAATTACCTGGATACGATGAAGACGATGTCGAACTCCATCCTCCTCATCCTCCTCGGCTAGACGTTCCATATTTTATACTTAGCAACACCCTGTAATATAAATTTTATATATTTTTATAAATTTTAAGATTCATTTTTATATTGAGGCACCCTGTAATTTACATTTTATCCATAGAAACACCTTGTAATCAAAGAGAATAGAATATATATTAGAGGGGAATTTAGAGAATCCCTTGGTATGAATTTTATCACTCCCTTTCAGCCTGAAAGGGAATACAAAATGTGTAAAACACCTAGAAAATGTTCACAAATTATATGCAGTAGAGTACATTAATACAGTATGTTCCCTAGACTATCCATTTCAATTTCGAATTTTTTAAAGCTGTTAAATAAACTTTATAATGAATTAGGTGAATAAAAAACATCATTTGATTCATCGTTTGTAAAGTGAAAGGCATAGAGTCTATGTGAAATGATCATTGGTCAATTATGAAACCAGCCTATTTCATAATTTGGTTTTCTTTTAATATTTATTTTAGATTCTCTATAAAATGATATGCCAGGGCCCAAAAGGTTTTATAGCATAAATATGTGAAGTACACCTGCAGTATGGAAACAGTACAACAAAATGGCCGTTTTACACTTTTTTCTAGTAAATTCCCCTCTAATATATATTCTATTCTCTTTGCTTGTAATATACATTTTATATAGAGACACTCAGTAATATACATCTTTATATATTGGGACACTCTCTGATATAAATTTTATATACATTTAATCTGTAGAAACACCTTGTTATATACATTTTATCTATAGAAACACCTTGTAATATACATTTTAAGAATATATAGAGACAGCCTGTAATATACATTTTATATAGAGACACTCAGTAATATACATTTTTATATATAGGGACACTCTCTAAAATATATTTTATCTAGAGGCACCCTGTAATTTACATCTAATCTATAGAATCACCTTGTAATATACATTTAAAATATATAGACCCACCCTTTAATATAAATTTATATAAAGACACTCTGTAATACACATTTTTATATATAGGGACAGCCCAGTCACTCTCTAAAATATAATATGTAGAGACACCCTGTAATATACATTTTATCAAAAAACACCTTATAATATACATTTTAAGTATTTAGAGACACCCTGTAATATACATTTTCATATACAGACATTTTTGTATATAGACACCCTGTAATGTACTTTTATCTATAGAAACACCTTGTAATTTACATTTTAAGTATATCGAGACACCCTGTAATATACATTTTTATAGAGACACTCTGTATTATTAACTTTCCAAAGAAAACACATTTTAATACAGACATCCTGTGATACATATTTCAATAGAGACACCCTATTATAGTTAATGTAAATAGAGCACCTCGTAATAAATATTTTAGTAGAGATATATTGTAATTAGAATATTTACACAAATATGAACCTTCTTGTTTTAGTAGAGATATATTGTAATTAGAATATTTACACAAATATGAACCTTCTTGTTTTAGTAGCAGCTTAAACTTTTATTTCCCTGTAATGTAGCAAATATACAAGTTTCAAGTTTAAAAGTTTGCCTAAAGTAGTTTTATTCAAAATCTTAAGTATGTATATCTTTACTAGTGCTTTATTTTCAATATTAGAATTTCAAGTAATTTTTCCAATAAAATACGATGAGAACCAGAAAATATTATAGTTTTGTCGTTTTCTTTTTTCTTTTATTTATCATATTTTTTTGCTCATAAAAGAACGCTATTTGTTTCAAAGTGTCTGCAGTTAACTCACTTTTCTAAAAAAAAAGGTAGCGTAATTTTGTTTAAACTTTAAGGCTAAACATACTATTGAGTCCAGGGGTTTCCAAAAAAGTATCAAATGTTATAGATTTGTATCATAACAAGTAAAAAGAGGGGGGAGGGGGCATGACCCCCCCCCCCCCCTTTTATTTTGGGTAAACTAGACGTCAGTCGGAAAAGGGTTAAAAAGAAGATTTCTTCTTAGACTGGTATAGTTTGGTGTTATTAAAAATATTACCTTTCACCATCTTGGTTGTAAAATATGGTTTAAGTGTGATTGATGGATGGAGGCGGAGGCAATGAAGGAAGATAGATTGGTCCTCTTAACGAAAACTTTTGTTTAATCACAGTTTAATTTGAATTTATGAACTCCGTAAAGTTGGCAGTATTGTATATGTTTGGATCATAAATCAGCTGACTTTCTCCTCATCCACGTGAACTTGGTTTGGTTTGAATCGGTGGTTGCAAAAATAGAACTTAACAGAAAACGGATTGGACTCACTCATGAACAGAAAAGACGGTGCAAGGTATAAGGATAAAGCAGGGTTGGGGTAAGGACCAGAAGTTGGATGAAAATCACATTTTTGATGTGGTTTGTCCTTCAGTTATTTTGTTGTGATTTTCCATAATCAAAGGTTGAATTCTACCCAGAAGGAACTGTGGTGGTCTACTAGGCTAGGAGACCATACCTGAAATTTAGAAAATTTAAATTAAAAAACTTTAAAATAATTTGGAAAGCAAGATAGTTAAATTGTATGAGAGCCAAAGCTTTTTTACCAAAAAAGATAAATATTCACAAATTTTATAAAGATATTAACGAAAAAATAATTTTTACTAAATAATATGTGTTTTAAAAAGAGCAAATGTAAAGAAAAAATGTTATTTAAAGATCAAAAAGTTTTATAATACATTGTTAAATGAATATGAAAAATAAATATAAAAAAAGGAAAATGAAAAATGAATTTGATAAATGAATATGAATAATGAATATGATAATTGAATATAAAAATGAATATGAAAAATGAATAAGAAAAATAAATTTGAAAAATAAATATGAAAAATTAATATGAAATATGAATATGATAAATAAATATGATTAATGAATATGATAAATGAATATGAAAAATGAAAAACGAATATGATAGATGAATATACAGCCAGATGTGAAGAATGAAAATGAAAAATGGATAAGAAAAATAAATATGAAAAATGAATATGATAAATGAATATGATAAATGAATATAAAAAATGAAAAACGAATATGATAGATGAATATACAGCTAGATGTGAAAAATGAATGTGAAAAATGAATATGATAAATGAATATGATTAATGAATATGATAGATGAATATGAAGAATGAAAAATTAATATGATAGATGAATATACAGCTAGATGAAGAATGAATATAAAAATGAATATGTAAATAAGAGAGAGATGAATACTAGAATATTTGTATAATAAATGATAATGGTGAGCTGCTACGTCTGAAACTAGTCTAAGATGATTTGTCAGGATATTTCCACCATTTTTATTCAGAAATTCTTCAATAGAGAGACAGGAAGAAAACGATTAGGTTTAAAAGGAACCGATATATTTCCTTCAAATCTTTTATTTTATCTAAAACATACACACAGTTAGACATACACACAACCAGACATGCACACAGTTAGACATACACACAACCAGACATGCACACAGTTAGACATACACACAACCAGACATACACACAGTTAGACATACACACAACCAGACATACACACAGTTAGACATACACACAACCAGACATACACACAGTTAGACATACACACAACCAGACATACACACAGTTAGACATACACACAACCAGACATACACACAACCAGACATGCACACAACCACATATAAACACAGCCAGACATACACACAGTTAGACTAACACACAGCCTGACATACATGCAGCAGACATGCACGCAACCAGACATACATGCAGCAGACATACACTCAATCATGCAACCTCTGTTAAACCACTTCTTTGAACTTAACTTTTAAAAGTGTATTTGATTTTGTTACAAAGCACTTTCACACAAGTTTAAAAATCACTTTAAAATATGGAATGTTGTGCCTCATGGTTAATGGAATATTTAAAATCATAACTTGAGTCTAAAAGTCATTCTTTTACAGAGTTTTCTGATTTTCACTGTACATATTTAACCCATTCTTTATAGTGCCCCTGAGTCAGAACAAAACTTCAAATATATATTGAAAAATGTATTAACAAAATTAAATCAAGAATTTAAGGACATTTTGACTCAAACGGTCAACACATTTTATGCAGGCTGAGGTTAGCCATACATATTTAAATATGAGGCTAAAATGATTTTTTTCAACTACCAAAATTCTAATTAAAATTAAAAAGTCTAATTAAATACAAACCTGGTTGAGAATAATTTTTTTGTTTAAAAAATTTTATTTAATGTTTAATCCAATCTTATTAAGTATACTTCTACGGGCTTACTCTTACATCTATGTATTAAGTTATAATCTCTGTTTTCTGTCTGTCTCTCTGTTTGTTTATCCGATCATAACTCAGGAACCCTTGGACCGATTTGCCTCAAATTTTAATTGGGAAACTTGGGAGTGATTAGTATAAAAAAAATTCTGGCGCAAAAATGTTTTTGAACTATTTTGCCAAAAAAACGTCTTTAAAAGCAAGAACCACAAGCGTTTCAAGGATACAAAAAGTATAAATGGGTTGGTAAAGTTTTATCCTGGTAAAAGGCCTGGCGCCCTCTCTAATGTAGCCAGGCCTAAAAAGTTGATGTATCATTTACATTATATGTATGTCGATGTAAAACTATAGCCAATGTTTTGGGATCCATATTCCATTGTTTTGTTCCTATTCCTTTCAACTCTTTTCTCTTAAGACATTTGTATTTTGTTCTACCAATTAATTCTGGTGTATTACATTGTAGATATTTGTAGTCCATTACTGCTGTACTTGTATTCTGGTGTATTACATTGTATATATATTTGTAGTCCATTACTGCTGTACTTGTATTCTTCAGCCTAGATATATATATTTACTTCCTTATTTATTATGTGTGTAGAAATAAAGGGGGGTTGTTGTATTGTAAACTTCGGTTTATATCAAGTACCGGGTAGACTTTCAAGCTGCTAGAGCAAGATGGTTAGCACACATACAGGCTATACACTACAAACCAAGACGTGTAAGCACTCACGCAAAAGTCGAGCAGTATTTCCCAATTACTACTTTTAAAATAAAAATAAAAATAAGCGCGCAATATTTTTAAAATAAATATGTCTAGGGCTACAAAAAAGTTTTAGTCAGCTGAGGTAAACCAAAGGCTAAGGTTCAGAGTTGTCTAGATATCAGTGTATATAAGGTTCAGAGTTGTCTAGATATCAGTGTATATAAGGTTCAGAGTTGTCTAGATATCAGTGTATATAAGGTTCAGAGTTGTCTAGATATCAGTGTATATAAGGTTCAGAGTTGTCTAGATATCAGTGTATATAAGGTTCAGAGTTGTCTAGATATCAGTGTATATAAGGTTCAGAGTTGTCTAGATATCAGTGTATATAAGGTTCAGAGTTGTCTAGATATCAGTGTATATAAGGTTCAGAGTTGTCTAGATATCAGTGTATATAAGGTTCAGAGTTGTCTAGATATCAGTGTATATAAGGTTCAGAGTTGTCTAGATATCAGTGTATATAAGGTTCAGAGTTGTCTAGATATCAGTGTATATAAGGTTCAGAGTTGTCTAGATATCAGTGTATATAAGGTTCAGAGTTGTCTAGATATCAGTGTATATAAGGTTCAGAGTTGTCTAGATATCAGTGTATATAAGGTTCAGAGTTGTCTAGATATCAGTGTATATAAGGTTCAGAGTTGTCTAGATATCAGTGTATATAAGGTTCAGAGTTGTCTAGATATCAGTGTATATAAGGTTCAGAGTTGTCTAGATATCAGTGTATATAAGGTTCAGAGTTGTCTAGATATCAGTGTATATAAGGTTCAGAGTTGTCTAGATATCAGTGTATATAAGGTTCAGAGTTGTCTAGATATCAGTGTATATAAGGTTCAGAGTTGTCTNATCCTCTGCATTTAATATGATTGTATGCTAGTAGTAGTGATATATGGAATTCATTAAAAATAAGATCCTCATGGGAAATTTGTAATAATTTCCTTTGATCAACACTCGTGTACATGTATCTACATGTTTCTCATAAACTTTTTCTCTAAAAATGTTTTATTTTCTGTGTTAAACATCAAATCGAGTGCCTTTAAACGATTCGCATTTTTCCCCATTCTGAGATATATTTTTTACAGCGGTGCAACAGGAGTATTTTCTTATTAGAATATTTATCAATTTCTTAAGCCTACAGTTTTTATACAATTTTACATCTAGCTGATAAAATTAATAATCATTATTTATAAAATAGTAATCACTGTTGGTCTATCTGTCTGTCAGTTTGTTTTTATGTCTAATCATAACTCAGGAACCCCTTGGCAGATGAACCTCAAATTTTGATCAGTAATCACTGAAATGTTCTTAGTTAGTGGGATGACAAGTGAATAATAAAAATATTTAATTAATTATTAATAATCACAAAAGAGTTAATTAATAATAATCATAAAAATGAAATAAGACGGCAGACGTAGTTTCAAGAACAATCATAATATAACTTTTGGCAAGGCTTTTATAAACAGTTTGGGGGTTAATTCAGAAAAATCGCTTCAGAAAAAGGCTTAATCCCATTACTGGTGTAAATCCATTACAGCACTCTTTTACGTAACATTGACCATTTCTAAAATCTTAAAAATATTTGAGAAATTGAGACCTAGGGAAACATTCAAAAAAGAAAAAGAAAGTATTAACAAAAAATTTGAATAAAATAAAATGTATCGTTTAAAAAAATTCTTCTTGTTGACACAGCTGAAATCACAGTAATTAAAATATGAAATGTTTCTCCAAGATTCCTGGGAAAATGTCAAATAGCATATTATATACGTACTTTGATAGTGCAAGATATAAACCAAGATAAAAAATGTCATGGTTCAAACTGGTTTAGAAACTAATTTAGAAACTGGGTTAAAAACTAATTAAAAAACTGGATTAGAAACTAATTTAGAAACAGGGTTAAAAACTGGTTTAGAAACAAATTTAGAAACTAGGTTAAACAATAATTTAGAAACTTGGTTAGGAACCGGGATAGAAACTGGGTTGGATTAGAACATGGTTTAGAAACTAGGTTAGACACTGAGGTAGAAACTGGTTTAGAAACTGGGTTAGAAACTAATGTAGAAACTAGGTTAGACACTAATTTAAAAACTGGTTAAGAAACTGGTTAAAAACTGGGTTAGAAACTAATTTAGAAACTGGGTTAGAAACTGATTTAGAAACTGGGTTAGAAACTGATTTAGAAACTGGGTTAGAAACTGGGGTGGAAACTTGTTTAAAAACAAGAACTGGTTAAGAAACTAATGTAGAAATTGGAATAAAAACTAATTTAGGAACTGGGATGAAATGGTTTATAAATTGGTTTAGAAACTGGGTTAGAAACTGGTTTAGAAACTAATTTAGAAACTGGGTTAGAAAATGGGTTAGAACCTGGTTAAAAAACTGGGTTAGAAACTGGTTTAAAAACTGGTTTAGAAACTAATTTAGAACTGGTTTTGAAACAAGTTTAGAAACTAGTTTAGAAACTAATTTAGAAACCATGGGTACCAATTTAGAAACTGGGTTAGAACTGGGTTAGAAACTGGTTTTGAAACTAGTTTAGAAACTTGTTTAAAAACTGATTTAGAAAATAGTTTAGAAAAAATTTTGCCAATAACTTCTTATCAACCAAAGCTAACAAAAAGTGATCTAAAGTACTGAGTGTACACGTAAAGGGCTTCAGAAAATAGCATAAGTGAGTGAGTTATAGCGGTAAAATCTAGGCCCAAGGCATTGCGACACTTCCAAGTCGACTCTGTATAATAACGCATAAGCAGGCTGAATCTATGTGAATAAAGTCACTAGCAGTAGTCAGTATAATTGTATATTTAGTGATGTTTATATTTGGTCAATACTGAATACTCACATGCTATATATACAACAGTTCTTTATTAATGCTTATTTATACATTATATCAAATAACAGAAAAAAACTCAAGTATATTTGTAGGCATGGGGTGGGTTGGGTTGGGGGACATTATGTCGTATTTTCACCTTTCTGTTCTGAGTTCAGATGTTGCTTCGTGTTTACATTAGAAATGTAAACAAAGTTATATCCCCGCATTTCACATATCTGGTATATATCTAGAAATCACACTGCAACTCTTAATAATGGTAGATCAGTGTTCATCTGTAATCTCTGACTGGGGGGGATAAGATGGGGGGACGTTTCGAGGCCGGAGCGAAGAGGATTCATCCTCGTACATCCTCGTACATGGATACTTACGATAATGGAGAACCACGGAGGAGAGACCCGTCCCAGCCCTCGGGCTTACATCACATCAAGCTAATTTAAAGGGATCATCAAAATTAATATCAAATGGACATTTAAAGGTACTGTAGACGTAATTTTAAACAAACTTCCATTTGTAAAGTGTCATGTCTGATTCACAACGATAAAAACGTGTTTAATTCTGACAATTTCCTGGAAACATGTTTGATTCTGAAAATTCCTGGAAACATGTTTGATTCTGAAAATTCCTTGAACTATGTTTGATTCTGCCAAATTTCTTCGTTCTCTCACTACATATATCTGCAAGTCATTTCTATCCAGAACATCTATCAAACATTGTTAAATAGATAAAAAAGTTCAACCCTTTTCTAGAAAAAGGGTTGAAGGGTACCGTTCTGAATCGCTGAATTGAATGTCACTGAATTGAAGATCACATTAAAATATTGACTTCAATCAACGATGTAAAGCCATTTATCCAAACCTATTCGGAGAAAATTTCATTCTCGGTGATAGTTTTTTCTTTTTTCGAATGAAACCACAGCCTAGAAAGTAGATAGAAAAGAAAGAAGAGTCTCCCTTTAGGTTAGGTATGCATATTTTCAATCCTTTTAAGCATAAAAGGATTTCAAAGTTTGCATTTTAAGTAAATGTTTACAAATCATATGCAGTACATTTCACTAATTTAGTATATTTCCTGGACAATTTCCGTTTAAAAGAGAAACAAATTATGTAAAATAGTTACTTTTTTTTATTTAACACTATCCTGTTCGGACTATTTTTGTCTAATATAGTGGGGGGGGGGAGGGGGTTTTCCATCCCCCCCTATGATTTTGCCCTTAGAGTTGAGATAGGAGAGTGTGATACATGTCACTAGTTCAACTTTTCAAGGCCTTCTAATTAGAAACAAATTAGACCTCTACCTTTAATGGTTAGGATGTCAGGGAGGTTTAAAGAATGTTCAAAAAGTATGTAGAATAATTTTGTAAAAATAGTTCTTTTTACTTTTGACAAATATTAACCCATTTCCTGCTGGGGGGGGGGGTCAATTTGACCCCCCCCTGTAGTTTTTTTTAAATAACTCAAAAAGTATTGGTCTGAGGCTGTTGAAATTTTCTGACTTTTCCTACATACCCAAAACCCTCCCTTTAGGCCGAAAACCGGGCTTTAATACTAACTGCCTGAGTCCTTAGGCACACTGCCTGAATGACTGCTTTTTCCTGTAACAAACTAAATCTTTGTTTTGACCCACTTTCACTTGTCAGATTTTGATAAAATTTAGCTTTTTGGAAAGCCTATAACATAAGGAAACAAATTGCACAAGTTTTGCGAAAAAAATTGCAAATTTTGTTGCAAACAACCTATCAAAGGAAGTTTGCACATTTTTAGTTTTTCTTGATTAAAAATCAGGTTATTTAAAATTTTGCACAAATTTATGCATATTTGAAATAGCATGGTCAAGGGCTTTTCAAAAATGTATAATTTTTCATTTTTTGGACAAATTTTTTTTTGCAAACATTTTTACTATATAACTGGATTTTGCGATAAAAAATTAATTTTTTGCAAATTGGCAATTTTTTTTGCAGATTCTAAAAGTAGAGCACAAGAGCTTTCCAATGATGTATCATTTGTCATATTTGAACATCAAACATGGGATTTAGAGGGGGGGGGGTCAAATTGACCCCCCCCCCAGGATATCCTGGTTTTCAAGTACCCCAGCAGGGATAGGGTTAACATGTGAGTGTGGCCCCCCTCGGCTCTGCAGAACTGCAAGCAAATTTAAGAGGAAATTTGCTTCTGATGGTAAGCCTACCTGCCTAAAGTCACATCATCACAACACATCACGGCAACTTTCTACTTTGTCTGCACATTATAAACAAATTGGGATCAGCATCGAAATATATTCTTGTATTTTATGAGTAAAAGATTAAAGTACAAAGTATGGATTATATGCATTGCATTCATGCAAATTGTTCTCCAAAAAACTTTTAATTATGAATTATCATCATAACTATTAAAATTAATATTAACATTATCATTATTATTATTAATTTGCCTAAGAACGGAACGGAACGGGACGGAAAGAAACAAGAACGGAACAATTGAAAAAAATGAACGAGAACGGAACGATCTAGCTGAAGGCCCTAGTTCTAGAACGGAACGGAATGATTATGGGTTATGGGTTTAAACCTAAGAATGAGAAAAGAAGTTACGTTTGTTCTTCTTAATTTGCTCTTTAAAAAGAGGAGAAATGATTGAAAACATTTAAGATTTCAATCTGACATGCAATTTACTTTAGTTAAACGTGCTAATAACTCGTTGCTTTAAATATTATAGATAGCGTTATATAGCAAATGTGTTCTAGGAGGTTCTAAAAATAAAATTTCATTAAACTTTAAATTAGTAAATTGCCTAAAATATCAAACTTTTGAAAAAATAACTGAAAGGTAAAACTTCAGAAACATGAAAGTTGAGAAATTTTGAAATAAATTGAATTATCCTCGTATTTTTTTTAATACTAGCCTTATAGGGTGCTTCGCGCCCATCTTTAAATTAATCGTGAACATTTCTCTTTGTGTACATCGTAAAACAAGACAAAAATAATTCGCGGATTTTCACAAAAAATTTCGTGGATTTTCAAAATTTTCAAAAATTTAATGAAGATCGAATTTTGATGGAGACAAATATTTGAAATTTTGATCATTCATAAACCTTCCCTGTGGTCACGTGATGTCCCACAAAAAATTTGGGCCCGATCGGTTCAGCCGTTTTGACGTTTATTGGATACAAACAAACAAACAGACAAACAGACAAGCCAAATTTATATATAGATAAACAAACTTTAGTCAACTTTAATCATCATTTAACATTTTTTTCTCAAAAATTTTGTTTTTTACTGAACTTTTTTTTCAATACCAACTTTATTTTTTTTCCAAATTTCCAAAATTCAAAAATAATGAGAATTAATCGAACAGCTAATAAAAAAGTAGTGATATTTAAAAAAAAAGATATGAGTTTTACCTAGTGCAAAGTGATATTCTACACCATAATGTGTTATTTCGTGCCAGAAAGTGATTATTTGCACGGTGCACCACAATTGGTATGATTATGAGAAGCACAAATTGATGGTGTGCGCCATGGTTTGCACCATAAACTAATGATATGCACCACAAACTAATGGTTTGCACCATAAACTGATGGTATGCACCACAAACTGATGGTTGGCACCATAAACTGATGGTATGCACTATAAACTGATGGTTTGCACCATAAACTGATGGTATNAACAACAAACTTGTTTCTGTCTTTTTTAAAATTATTAAATAGGCCATCGCCATACAATTGATTATAGTCAGGACAAAAGACTTAATTCAACATTGGAATCGTCTTTTTAAAAAAGTTTTAGGTCGTCTTTACAGTCTCATTCTTTGTGGGTAACCCCGCATATACATCCCAAGTAACAATTTTGCGGAAAATCAGCTGAAATTCCGAGGAATCTTTCCTGAGAATCCGCGGAAGTTCCCAAGAAACTTTCACAGGAAAATCAGGTGAAAATGACGACAACTATTCCGAGGAATTTCTCGTAACTAGGTCCGAGGAACTTCTTGTAACCCATTCCAAGGAAATTCTTGTTACCATTTCTGCAGAAAAACCGGAGAAAATGTCGACTTGTCCAGAGAAAAGTTCTTCAGAACCGATTCCTGGGAATTTCCTGGGAACTATTCCGAACATTTCTTCAAGAGTTCCTTAGGAATATCTTAAAATATTCTCAGCATATTCCTGAGTAAATTCACTAACCAGGACTTAGGCCCAATAGTAGTGAATAACTTAACAACTATATTGGCCCTCCAACAAAATAAAAAAAAATAAAAAAATAAAAAAAAGATTTAGTTAGTGCAGTGCATAATAGAGGAGAACCTCAGAGACACCTATTGGAGAAAAACGGAACTTTAAAATTCTGTGATGAAGTCCTGACAATTTCTGAGGAATTTCGGGAGGAATATTCCTGAGAAATTCTTAGGAATTTCTTGAGAAAAATTCCAAAGAAATTCTCAGGTATATCTTGAAACTTATTCTCTTATTTGATTCCCCTAAAAATCAGTAAACTTGGTGACCAAGTCCTAAGAGTTTCTCAGGAATTTCCGGAGAAGCATTCAGGAGAATTTCTAAGGAATTTCTTGGGGTGAAATTCCGGAGAAATTCCCAGGAATTTCCGTAAACATGGGGACCAAGTCCTAAGAATTTCTCAGGTATTTCCGGAGAAATTCTTAGGAATTTTTTGAGAAATATTTCAGAGAAATTCTCAGGAATTTCTCGAAACTTATTCTCTTATTTAAATCCCCTGAAAATCCGTAAACTTGGTGACCAAGTACTAAGAATTTCTCTGGAATTTCCTGAGAAGTAATCAGGAGAAATTCTCAGAATGTTCTTTTGGTGAAACTCCTAAGAAATTAACGACTAGACTGTTCCTTCTTTTTTTAAAAAAAGAAAAGAAAAATTAATTTTGAAAAAAAAATGATTTCGATTTTTTATTAGCCAATGTTAACCCCAGGGTAACCATGGGTTCCCTAAAAAAATTCAGCCCATTCGGTCTAGCCATTTGGTCAGCCATAGCTAACATATGTATATACAAACAATATATATATGTGTAATTCTAGTGTATGTATATATATAAAATATGTAGAGTGAAAATTTAAAAAAAAATTTTATATTAGAGATTAAAGAATGTATTAAATTCCATTAGACAAGCTTTGAATAAACATACAGCAGCTGAATCTATTAACAGCTAAACCGAGGACCAGTTTTACTTAACGGCTGAACAAGGAACCTGGGCTGGAGCAATTTTATTAAGCAGCTGAACCAGGAAACCAGGAGAAGCTTTACTTAGAAGCCTAACC